GCACCCCGATCATCCCCCCGGGGGTGCCGCTGGGTGGGGAAGGTCCGTGTGTGCCCCCCACCCCCCTGAGGACCCCCCCGTCCCCCCCTCCAGGGCTCTGCGCGGGGTTCAACATCGACGTGGAGCACCCGCGGGTGTTCCGGGGCCCCCCCGAGTCCCAGTTCGGGTACCGGGTGCTGCAATGGGGGGGCGACGGCGACAGGGGGTGAGTGACCCTCGTGGAGAGGGGGGGACACGGGCAGGGGGGCTCAAGAAGCGCCCACACCCCCCCCCCGACAGCCCGCGGGGAAGGGGAGGTGGAGACGGGGAAACTGAGGCAGGAAAGGGGGGAATGGAGGGAGGGAAAAGGGGGGCTGAGGTGAGGAAGGGGAAGCTGAGGCGGGCAGGGCGGCCGGAGCAGCCACGGCCGGGCGGCCGGACAGACAGACAGACAGACAGACAGACGGACGGACGGAAGCGGGGGTGGCAGGACCTGGCGCGGTGCCCCCAAAACGTGCTGGCGGGGTCAGAGCGGGGCGGGGGGGACCCCGTGTCCCCTCCCCGTGTCCCCTCCCCGTGTCCCCTCCCGGTGTCCCCTCCCGGTGTCCCCTCCCCGTGTCCCCTCCCCGTGTCCCCTCCCCGTGTTCCCTCCCCGTGTCCCCTCCCGGTGTCCCCTCCCCGTGTCACTCTTTGCGCCCCCCCCTCGCCGTGTCCCTCTTTGCGAGCGTGTCCTCGTGTCCTCCCCGCGTCCCCCCAGGCTGCTGGTGGGGGCCCCGTGGGATGGGGACGGTCAAGGCGACGTCTACAAGTGCGGCGTGGGACCCCAAAACTCCTCCTGCGCCAAGGCCAACCTCGGTATTGGGGAGGGGGCAGGTGGGGTGGCGGTGACCGCGGGGGGAGGTTCCGGGGGGGGGTGTGAAGGTGTCCCCACGGTGCTGACCCCGTCTCTGTCCCCGTGTCCCCGAGGGGACACAGCGCCGTGGCTCCGCGGCAGCGCCGGACACCTCGGCATGACCCTGGTGGGCTCCAAGGACGGCGGGTTCGTGGTGAGCGCGGAGCGTCCGCGGGGGTGAGACCGGGCCGGGATGTCACCGCTGCTGTGTCGCCCGTGTCACCTCCCCCTTCCCCCCCAGGCGTGTGCCCCGCTTTGGTCCCAGGAATGCGGCACCTCCGTGTTCAGCTCCGGCCGCTGCGTCCGCCTGGACGAGGAGCTGCGGCTCGTGGAGACGGTCGCGCCCACGGCACAGCGTGAGCGGGGCGCTGGGACGGACTGGGATGGACTGGGACGGACTGGGAGGTGCCACCCGGGTGTCGCTGTGTCCCTCTACCAGGCTGCTCCACCTACATGGACATCGTCCTGGTGCTGGACGGCTCCAACAGCATCTACCCCTGGGAGGAGGTGCAGGAATTCCTCGGGAACATCCTGGGGCGCTTCTTCATCGGCCCCGGGCAGACCCAGGTCAGGGGGTGGCACCGGGGCCACCGTGGTGTCCCCCAAGGCTGGGACAGCGTTCCCGGGGCTATAATGGTGTGCCCAGGGCATTGTTGTGCCCGGGGCAAGGTGACTGTCCCCAGGGCTATGCTGTTGTCCCTGGGGTGGTAGTGATGACAGGTACCACCCTCGGGGGGATGCCACCCCTGGGGTGATGTCACTGTCCCCAGGGTGATGCCACCCCTGTGGAGGTGCCACCCTCGGGTGATGTCATTGTCCCCAGGGTGATGCCACCCCTGTGGAGGTGCCACCCTGGGGTGATGTCATTGTCCCCAGGGTGATGCCACCCCTGTGGAGGTGCCACCCTGGGGTGATGTCATTGTCCCCAGGGTGATGCCACCCCTGGGGTGGTGCTGGCTGGTGGTGGTTTTGGGGGGGGCCAAGGGTGCCCTTTGCCAGGGATTAGGGGGTCCTATGGGATTTGGGGGCAGGGGTCTCCCGTGGATTTTGGGGTCCCGCTGGCTCTGACCCCCCCTGTTTCAGGTGGGGGTGCTGCAGTACAGGGAGCGGGTGGTGCAGGGGTGGGCACTGGGGCAACACCCCGGGGATTTGAGGGGTCCCTGTGGATTTGGGGGTTCCCCGGGGATTTCTGTGGGTTCCCTGTGGATTTGGGGGTCCCGCTGGCTCTGACCCCCCCCGTTTCAGGTGGGGGTGCTGCAGTACGGGGAGGAGGTGGTGCAGGAGTGGGCGCTGGGGCAGCACCCCACGGCCCAGGCCCTGCTCGAGGCCGCCCGGAACCTGACGCGGCAGGAGGGGAGGGAGACGCGCACGGCCATGGCCATCCGGCAGGCCTGGTGGGCTCCGGAGCGGGAACGGGGGCGGGATTGGGGGCGGGATTGAGGTCGGGGTGGGGATTGTGGTCAGGGTTGGGATTGGGATTGAGATCAGGGGTGGATTGGTGTCGCGATTCGGATCGCGATAGGGGTTGGGGTTTGGGTCAGGACTGGCGGCAGGGTCGGGGTTGGGATTAATTTTGGGATTGGGATCAGTGTTGGAATTGGTATCAGGGCTAGGATCGAGTCAGGGTTTGTATGAGGGTTGGGATTGGGGCTAGGACTGGGACTGGGATGTGGCTCAGGGTTGGGGTTGAGGTTGGGAACAGGGTCAGAAGCAAGTCAGGGTTTGTCTTAGAATTGGGCTCAGTATTGGAATCGGGATCAGGGTTAGGATCGAGTCAGGGTTTGGGTGAGGGTTGGGATTGGGGTCAGGGTTGGGACTGGGATGTGGCTTAGGGTTGGGGTTGAGATCGGGGTGAGGGTTGGGATTGGGGTCAGGGTTGAGATTGGGGTCAGGATTGGGACTGGGATCTGGCTCAGGGTTGAGATCGGGGTGAGGGTTGAGATTGGGGTCAGGACTGGGACTGGGATGTGGCTCAGGGTTGAGGTTGAGATCGGGGTTCGGGTTGGGAGCAGGGTGGGGATCGGGAGCAGGATTAGGACGGGGCTCGTGCTGACGGCCCCGTTCGTTCCGGCAGCGCCGAGTCCTTCAGCGCCGAGCGGGGCGGGCGCTCGGGGGCTGCGCGGCTGCTGCTGGTGGTGACGGACGGGGAGTCCCACGACGGGGAGGAGCTGCCGGCGGCGCTGGCAGAGTGCGAGAAGCGCAACATCACCCGCTACGCCATCGCCGTGAGCCCCGGCCCCGTGTCCCCCCCGTCCCGGGGGCGGGTGTCCCGCTGCCCCCCGTCCCCGTGTCCCCTCCGCCCCGGGAGGGAGGAGTCCCGCTGACCCCCGGCCCTCCCGCAGGTCCTGGGGCACTACCTGCGGCGGCAGCAGGATCCCGAGGATTTCATCCGGGAGATCAAGTTCATCGCCAGCGACCCCGACGAGAAGTACTTCTTCAACGTCACCGACGAGGCCGCCCTCAACGACATCGTGGACGCGCTGGGAGATCGGATCTTCAGCCTCGAAGGTGCCGCACTGGGGCCTGGAGGTCGGGAAGGGATGGGAATTCCGGCTGGAAGCGCGCAGCTGGAGGAACAGCGTCCCCTCCCTGCCGCGGTCAGGCACCCGTGAGGACAACGAGAGCGCCTTCGAGCTGGAGATGTCCCAGATCGGCTTCTCCATCCACCTCCTCGAGGTGATCCCGCCGGGAAGCCCGTCCCGGCCCTGCCGAGTGTCCTGGGACGGGATGGTGACCTTAGGGGGGGTTGCGGTGACACGTCCCTCCCATCCCGGCAGGACGGGATCCTCTTTGGAATGGTGGGAGCCTACGACTGGGAGGGGGGCGTGCTGGAGGAGAGCCGGCGCGGGCGCATCATCCCACCCCGGGAAGCATTCCAGGGGGAATTCCCGCTGAAGCTGAAGAACCACGCAGCGTATCTCGGTAAGGGGGGTCCCCAGGGATGGGGGGAAACCAGGGATAATCCATATTATTGAGATCTGAGATGAACCAGGGATGTTCCGTGTCCCTGAGATCTGGGGAGGGACGTGGGATTCTCCGTGTCCCCAGGGATGGGGGGTGAGCCAGGGATGGTCCACGTCCTGGCCGTGGGATGAAACGGGAACGCTCCACGTGCCGGAGACACGGGGTGAAGTGGGGACACCCCGTGTCACGGATATTCGGGATGCTGAGGTGCTCGTGATCCAGATATCCGCGATCCTGATATTTAGGGTGCCCCGGGAACACACCAGGGGTCCCGTGTGCCCAGGGCTGACCCCGCTGCCCCTCCCCAGGTTACTCGGTGTCCTCGCTGCGGCTGCCGGGGGGGCAGCGCCTGTTGGTGGCCGGAGCCCCCCGATTCCAGCACAAAGGAAAAGTCCTCCTCTTCCAGCTGGACCCCGCGGGCACCGTGACGGTGACCCAGACGCTGATGGGGGAGCAGGTGAGGGGAGGCAGAGGGGCCGGGGGGGGTGACGTTCGTCCCCCCCCGTGGCCTCACAGCCCTTCTGCACCCCCCCAGATCGGCTCCTACTTCGGCAGCGAGGTGCTGGCCCTGGACCTGGAGGGGGACGGGGCCACCGACCTGCTGCTGGTGGCAGCGCCCACCTACCTGGGGGGCCAGAGCAGGGAGGCGGGGAAGGTCTACCTGTACCGCGTGGGGCAGGTCAGGGGGGGCACGGCAGGG